GTCTTTAACTGAGTTCTTTCTTCTTTCCAAAAGTCATAGGAAAGGTTAGAAAAGTGGACATGAATTAATGCAGTCAATTACTGGTGGTGTAACTTACTTTCCACAGTATGCTTGATTTCATCTTTGATAAGATGGACATCCTAATTTTTTATGCTTTTGCTTGCTCCATAGACTATGGACTATGAAAACCATCCAGTTAATGGTACCATTTTTAAAGCAATGTACCCAAAAGCTTATATCCCAGGCATAGGATACATTAAATCTGGAACTTTAAAAAATTATTAGCTTTATTGGTTAATACCTTAAGCAATATTTTGGTTTGCAAACCTCATGACTACAGACTTGAGATGGAAGGAGATTCAGAATGGTGGTTTACAAAATCCGGTTAACAACATACAGACATCTTTAGTAGGTTTGCTGGTTTTGTAGAGATGAATTGCAAACTCAGAAGGAATAGCTAGCACTAATCACAATGTGGGCCTCGGAAATTAATAGGGCCCATGAAGGAGAGCAATTAGGAACATTCATCTTCCAAATGAGTCCATGTGAGATCCATTGGTACTTTGTATTTATATACTTGAGGGCATTTGTGCCATTAAAAGGGATAATGGCTGCCCTTAAGGCATGTGTGCTAAAGCAATCTGTCACTTTGCTGTTGTGACGGCAAACAGTATAATGTTGCTTAAAGGAATAATGTTGTCCCGTTTATCAGTCAAGTTTCTTCAGAAATTGAAAGTTTTGACTCTAAAATCATCATAGTCTTATTATAATCTAACAGAGGGTAAGACTTGAGGCTGGAGATTCGTTATGACAGAGGCTGATTAAAAGGTTCTCTTGGTGAGAACAACACTGCAACTTTTAAAAGCTTTAATGTTTCCTGGTTCGGGCTGCTTCCCTTCTTTCCATTCTGTAATCTGCCACCCTTGACAGTTGCTCTGACATACCAATCAACTCAGCCGAGAACATTGCTTTTTGTTTTTGTTTGACAATATAAAGTGATACACACATGACTAATATATGGAAGGCTTCACTCAGGTGGAAACAGAACTTATTTCAGATGCTTTAGAAAAACAGCTCAGCATTGTCAGACACATTGACGTCTGATCGGCTATGAAACAACATCCAGTTGTTTTATATTTTCTTTCATCCTTTCCTAAGTAATGGGTTTTTCTACCTCACTTCTTCCCCAAACTTTAGGAATATCAGTGGTTGAAATGCTAACCCACTTGTTAGCATTAAAGTACCCCAATATTTTTAATGTTGCTATTTGTGACAGATTAGTTTATTCTGATTAGAACAAGAATGTAACTGTCCTTCCTCCTGGGTAGCATTGGGAGAGTTTGAGGCTAATTTTTTGTTAGGTTGGTTTGTTTGAGGAAACATTTTGAGAGGGATTCTCCCCTCACCCCCCCCCCCCCAATGTTTCTAAAAACATTTTATGAATTGCACATTTTTGTGTAAAATGCAATCTTTTGTAATTTGTGGTAAAATAGTCCCAAGGTGTGAGAGAAATTGATGCCAGGTAGATGATTTTTTTTAAAAAAAGAGGTGCTTTTCTGTATGAAGACACCCTCTCCTCACAAATGATTTTTTTCCCCTTACACCAGTGGTTCCCAACCTGTGGGCCACGAGAATGAAAATCCACTTCGCAAATCTCCCTCCTCTTTATTTATTTATTGCCACTCCCTTTCACAGAGCTGACCAGCTCTGCCCCTTTTGATATGAATGTTGGAAAGTGGTCCCTGGTCAAAAAAATGTTGGGAACCACTACCTTACATCCTAAAATAGAAACCCATAGTAATCTTTTCCACCTCTTTTAATAAACATGAGTTAAAATTACTGATCAGGGTAGTAAAGACTTATCATACTCTAACTTACTTCTAAGATTTTCTCAATGTACATCTTTTTTGTGTTTTGCTTTCAGTAGGTATGTCAAGAAATTATATCCTTTGGGCCAATGATTTGTATTTAAGGATAACATTTGGCTTTTTGATAGTGTGTGACATTGGCCCAACACATGTCTCTGAACTTCCATGAGGTATGCAAGCCCTAAACATCTATAGGAGAAAATAATTGAGAGCTACTAGATTAGACTAATACTTTGGAATTACAGATAATAATATTTTTAGCACTTGCTACATTGCAAGCAATAATGTTACTGTCAGTTCCACTTACGGTATGTGGCCAAGCAAACACCTAGAGTCACATGAGAAAACACTACAATGATTACTGCTTGTGTTTCAGTAACCTAGCTAATAGATGTGGTAAACTAGTTGTGCAGTAGATTAATAAGCATTGGTACATATTTTGTTTGTCTTTTAATGTAGATATTTTCAAGGCTGTTTCCCCTAATAAATACCAACATATACATATGAAGCAGACATTAATATAAACAAAGGCTTATAGATTGGATATGGGGTGGGACTCCTATAACTTGAATGCTAAAGATATTGTGTACATGAGGTACTGGTAGCAAGGACAAAACTTGGTGCTTCTCCCCACCCATTTATTTCTCTCTCCACCAAGGAGGCAAGAGCCATGTTGGGAGGGAATAAATGTGGTTGAAAGTTGGAGTTTGGAAGGTTCTTTTGTTGACAAAATATTATGTTATCTCCCCTTGGGCCTCATTTACACTGACTCATTTCCTACAGTTTGAAGGTAGTTTCAAATGATAATAGCCAGACAACAAATTCCCATGGAAGTGCATGAAAGAAAGCCATAAATGTGCATCAGTGCTCTGTGGTTGGTGTCATCACCATTTGGATTTCAAACTGGTTCTAGGCTTTCCTATGTGATCATCTGCACAGAAAAGACACTTTCTTCAGTACCGGTTTGGAAAGATTATCAAATTTACAATTACAAGTATCAAATGAACTCTTTTACAATAGGGGTTTTGGAGTATTGTATGTATTGTATGACCATATTTTAGCAGATCCTCTGAAGATGCCAGCCAAGGTGCAGGCAAAACATCAGGAGAAAATGCTGCTAGAACATGATCATACAGCCCAGAAACCACACAACCCTCCAGCGATTCTAGTCAAGAAAGCCTTCAAAAATATGGATTTTTTCTACAACATCATTTTTAAATAAAAAATGAGGTTTTGACATCCTTTAGTAAAGCATCATTAATTCATTTTAATAGTTTTTTTTAATTAAAATACTTTACTGTAGTAATTTACTAATGAATGGTCAATAAATGTGAAGTATACAAGCAAATGTGGCAAGATTTTCCTAAGAACACATTATTTGTAGTCTTAAAACTTGGTACTTCCCTTGTGGTGTTGGGTTAGAAATGCATCTTGCTATCAGTAAGCAATACATGCTCACAGCCAACTATTTTCTTTGAGATTATCACAGATTATCTTTTCTGATCTTGCCTTTCATTTTCAAAGCTAAGCATCAAATCCAAGGATTTCCAAGTTCAGGTTGCTGTAACAGCTGCTACAAAATTTATAATGTGCCTGACATCTGTTGCTGCTAAAGTTGCCTTTCTTTGTACTTCTGCTGTTAAGAGTGGTATGTCTCATGTTCTGGGAGAATGTATGGCTGTGGCAAGGCTTCCACTGTGCTCTGGTGCCTGGACAGAGGGACAAATAGGGGAACTGTGCCATGCTTTCTAGTAGCATTTTCTTCAATTCCAGAAGAAATATTATATCATATCTTGTATCTGATTTTCTTCCCAATAGTAGATATGCAGCTTTAGCAAGCTGTCTGTTAGGGTAGGCAGAAAATTGACCTGTCTTGGTGATTTGAAGCAGACTGGCAAACATTCAGAGTTTTAATTGGTTAACAATGGCAGCAAGAAAAAGAAATTAGCAACCCCCTAAATTGTACTGCTAAACTGAGGAATACTTGGTTTAGAACTAGGTGGACCGTGAGTTCTCAGTTTCCTGGATTTATAATTTTTAGTTATGTCCCCAGTTCATAGATTAGGTTTTTGGAATTAAAAAATAACTTAAGACATGGAAGCACAGGAACTTTTGAATGGATTCAGAGCATGCTATGATATTATTAGCTTAAGAGAGCCTTCTGGGTAAAATGCGTGACATATTAATCATTTTAACCAGGTTAAGTTCCTCTAGCATACTTCTGTGAATCAAGATGACAAGGGTGGTGGTGGTTGTAGCTTCCCAGGCACTCTGATGGTTGTTCAGCAGATATTCCAGTGGTCATTTCAATCACAGAGTGGAGGGTGGAAATGTTTTTGCGTGCTGTTGTGTGGCAGGCTAGTGATCAAAGTTAATTTGGGGATTTGGGTACAAAATAGAGTTTCTATGGCTGACTTCTCTGAATTGCTGCACATCAGCAGCAATTCTCCATGGAGAATTTGCCTTGTGAAAATCCGGTTTTGACTTGAAGTCCCTTGATTAGTCCAAGACAGAACTGTTACAGTAGTGCATGTCTTTCTGCCAGAATGGCTGCAGGTCCAGTAATCTCCAGACTAGATATAGAGTTGGTTGCCTCTCAGCCTTTGGTCTCATGGAGTAGTGGCAGTGTTGCTGCCATTATAGCTTCCCAGGGTGCATGTGGCTTCACCAGTCCTCTGTAACATTACTTGATCTTGATATCAGTGTGATAGTGCTTCAAAAAAAAATAGCAGCTAGGTTATGGAACTCTTCGGTTGCAGCCAATGAGTGTGAGAAAGAAAAAAAAGGCTGTTTTTTCATTCAAATGCTGCTGCAAATGAGATCTAACAGCAGACTGGGCAGCAATATTGGGGCAGGTGGCTCCCATGTTTTAATTGGTGGGACATTGAGGAAGTCTCTGTAAGGCAGTGGTTCTGAACCTGTGGGTCGCCAGATGTTTTGGCCTTCAATTTCTAGACATCTTAAGAGCTGGTAAACTGGCTCAGATTTCTGGGAGTTGTAAGCCAAAACACCCACAGGTTGAGAACCACTGCTGTAAGGAGACCTCAGCTCATGGGGTGTAAAAATGCATTCAACAATACAATCTGTATTTTGAAAGTATAATTGTTTTTCCCTTCCTTTCCTTTTTTTTAGGAGGTTGCACATTTGATGATGGCCCAGGACCCTGTGATTACCATCAAGACCCATATGATGACTTTGACTGGGTTCACGTTAGTGCTCAGGAGCCCCATTACCTGCCACCTGAAATGCCTTCTGGTAAGAGTTGCAACAGGGATACTCATTTTATTAGTATTGGTGTTTTGATCTTTTTTCTGTGTGTTTTAATGTTATTGTGTTTAACCTCTATGCTTTAGCTATGAGCAAAAGAAAGTGTAAAACCTAGAGAAGCATTTAAACAAGGATCCTAGCTAAATTATGACAATGGTAGGATAAGCTATTTGTCTTCAATTCAACTTTAGTGATGTGTTCAAGATTGGAACCAGGGACTGCCTAAAGAATGTGCATCTCCAGTGGGTCCAGTATGATTGCGGTGAGGAGGTTTTTGGTAGTCTCCTTCCCTCAATTGTACACACCTAGATCTGGATTACATCCACTAAACAAGCCACCTGTAAATTGTCCTGCACAAACTTTATTCTCAGACAGCAAGGAGAGTGGGAGAGATTAAGTGATTCACTAGCTTGGTTTGGTTGCAGTCCTGTATCCACTTACGTGGAAGTGAGCAGCACTTTACTCAGTCAGATTTAGCTCTGCATAGTGATGGGAATCAGAACTGTTAGGTTCAAAATAACCCTCACTTAGGGTGATTCCACAAAAAATATAATAGAGTGCGAGAAGCACAGTTCATAACCAGCAGAAACTCACATGTAAGGAGCCAGGAGAAGTTTCCATTCAAGAGGATGGATTAGGATCACAAGAGTCACAACTTTAGGTTCCAAAAATATATTTATTGAAGCAAAAACAAATCCATTCTAGATAGAAAAGAGTTTTGGAGCGAACTAGCTTACTAAGACTTTTTCTAAGAAAGGTAAAAGGATAAAAATAAGAAAATATCCGTGCAGCTACATCTTGCCTAGAGAAAGACAAAATGTGTCCTTACTCAAAGGAAGACAAAGGCAAGAAGAGGAAGGAACAAAATGGAGAATGACCACGTGGCCAAACCCAGAGCAATAAAAAAAAAACCTTTAAGAGGAAGTTACCTCATCCCTCAGAGAGGTCACATTGCTACATCTTCAAAGTGGGGAGGAGACAGTGGCAAGAGAAGAAGAGAAAGACAAAACCCCTTCTGGGATAGACAATTTCTGGGATAGGAATTTAAGGAAGGAATTCCTCACTCTAATACTATCTAGTCTATCTACTCATTGAGGACTTGAGACTTGTGCAGTCAAGGATGAAACCTAACACATAGACATGGGCAGGTTTCCACACATAACTTTGTGGAAACATGAGGTACTTACTGTACCTTGTGTGTTTAGGATTTCCTGCAGACTTGTACAAGTGAATATTTTGGTAAATGAATGCAAAATAATTGAAAGTACTTAAATGTTTTGGCAGTGTCCCAGCTTTTATATTCAGGAATAAGAGTATGCTAATTATTTTGCTCCCTGATTCCATGCTATTTATCTTGTTTCATTAAACATTTTCCTCTGTTCCTTCCTGTACAAATTATTTAATTGACAATATAAATTTGCGGAGTTGTAGTTAGAAGGCAAGGAAAATGACACGAATTTTAAAAACTAATATATCATGTTTTAAAAAACTATTGCCTAAGATACATTGAGTGCATTGATCATTCAAATGATATACATTTGCCATGAGGTTTTATTTTCAACTCAGGACATTACATTTTTCTTTTAAGGAGGCAATTAATAGCTCTGAAAGAAATCCCTTGACATAACAATGGAAATGCTTGAATAAATATGTTCCTGGACTACAGTACATCTGCTCTTTAGGGTTTACTGTATACATAAATAGATTTCCAGGACAGGTTTAGCTCATTGTTTTCCCCTTTAAATATATACCTGATATATTTAAACCACAGTGTGTATGACATGAATAAAAATAGAAACATTAGCTTGGAATATCAGAGGGGTTTTAATTGATGGAAATATTTCCATTGTTTATTCCTATTGAAGACAAGATAATGAATAACTGAAGAGGTACAGCCTCGATGACCTTGTCTGCTCACCTTTGATGAACAGCTTAATCGGTGCTTTCCAGACAGAATGATATGCAGAGTGAAATAAATGCCTCTGAAATTCAAGTGCATTTTCAATTAATAGGATATTAAATAATTAATCTTACAAAAGGAGGAAATAAGACTAGACCACTTGTGCCTCCTGAACAGCTTCTGTCAGCTGAAAGGAGGAAAAATGGGGATTTTGTACAGTAAAATTAGACCCAGCCCATTTTCAACCCCTTACACTCGGCTTCTGTTCCTGCAATTTATTATCCTTAAAAGCGAGTGCACTTTCACTTTTGTAATTAGCAATTAGGCGCTTGCTAATCTGTGGCTGCAAGTGATAAATGGTTGAATGCTGCAGTGCACCTTCCTTGTTAAACAAGGTAGCATATTACACAAGCATTTAGGCTGCCCCCTGCCTGCTGCAAGACCTTGCAAGTACCACACTGGTTTAAGACTTGGATCCACAGTAAATTCTTCTATCATCACTAGCATCCCAAGCATGAAATCCCCTCAGAAAATTCCTACCATTTGAAAGAGAAAGAGGTGCCTTTTGACGATAACTCCCTACAAGCCCCAATGACCTCTCCGTGATCTCCTGGAATGGTTTTTCAGGAGGTCTAAGTGGCTGAAAGGGTGAAAGGAAATAAAAATCATCTTTGTACATATGTCACAGTGGGATAAGTATATTGTAATTGCTCTCAAAGTTTGCTCTTCCCTATATCCTGGATGTGACCTCCTAGAATCCCTGACTCATAAAATGCAGTTCAGTTTAAACAATATAGCACCCCACAGTCTATTCTTGAAAAAAAAAATCCTATTTTAAAATCTACTTGGAATAAAAAAAATGTTTTAGCCTGCAAAGAAAAGGATAACAAGAAGGGTCCCTACCATCCCTACCATCTGTGTTTGGGATGGGGGTGGGACTGAGAGAATGGCCTCTTCCGATGATCTCGCAGCCCAGGTTGGCCCATATAGGGAGATATAATCTGCTGTATAGCCTTGACCCATGTCATATAGGGCTTTATAGATCATAACCAGCACTTGGAATTGTGCCCATAAACAAACTGAGCCAGTGAAGCTGTTGCAACAGAAGATGTCTTTTGTAGCTGTCACAGTTAACACATTGACAGTAACTCATTAGATCACTGGAAGTTTCTGAACACACTTCAAAGGCAGACTCAAGTAATCCAAATGAGATGTAACTAAGGCATGTACCACTGTGACCAGATTAGATGTCTCAAGGAATGGATGCTATTGGGGCATTAGTATGTCGCAGCAGCTTAAACCGCTGAGCTGCTGAACTTGCTGACCGAAAGGTTGGTGGTTCAAATCCAGGCATCTGGGTGAGCTCCTGCTATTAGGCCCAGCTTCTGACAACCTAGCAGTTCAAAAACATGCAAATGTGAGTAGATCAATAGGTACCGCCTTGGCAGGAAGGTAACGGCACTCCATGCAGTCATGCCGGCCACATGATAATGCTGGCTCTTCAACTTAGAAGTGGAGATGAGCACCACTCCCCAGAGTTGGGCATGACTAGACTTAATGTCAGGGGAAACCTTTACCTTTACCTTTGTTTTAAATGTGTATAAGCACTTCTGGCTATATAAAAAACCTGGGTTCAAAGCTGAGTCCAGGAAAACACTGAAACAATGCACTGTCTTCAGGGAGAGTGTAATCCCATCTAACATAGGCTGAATCTCTGTTCTGGTTTCTGACTGATCAAGAGCACCTCTGGATTAATTTTCAAGTCAAGTTGAATATCCTTTCAGAGCTGCCTGTTCGGATTTACATTTCAATAAATCAATATTATAATGGAGATTTCTTCAATATTTGACTTTTTAAAAGTATTTGAGTTTTCAATAATAGTGCCTAAAATAAAAGAATTTTATCAAGTAATAATTCCCTGTGTCTGATGAATTTCACAAATTCAATTGCATTTCAACAAAATTATCAGAGTGGTAAAATCTGGATGTTGTGCAGTGCTTAAAACCGAACTGTTTGGCTTCCTTGGTCTGGGAAGACTGGGATATAAGAGGATATATTTTTATTTGAACTCCTGAGCAAAAGTTGCCTCTTTTGAACTGGCTAAAGTGGAGAGCTGGAATAAATACTCACTTGTTTCATTGGAAGTTGTAAACTGTGTCCCTTCAAAGGTTCTCTGTTAGAACTTGTGTTTTTAAATGTGACTCTAAGGACCTTGAGTTAGGAGGGAGCAGGGGTCATACTTTGCTAATGCTTTGCAATTATTTAAGACAGTTAAAAAAATAAAGAATTCCTTAAAGATGAATTGGGAGAATTGGCATTAGAAAAGAAGTTGTGATTCACTGTAAGTATATGCAAAGTGATGACTATTACCCCATAGCTATCATTGTGCATATGCTAATCAGCTTTGAACTGGTAGTGACTAACCAGGAATGGAATTTTAGGTTGTGGTAAAGGACATGATAAAAATATCCTAGTAGGTGCCTGAAAAGAAATGGGTACATTCCAATTCATTTTTTTTAAAAAAATCCTGCCAATATCACAACAATGGCTTTGTATAAACTTGTGATGAGAGCAAACTTGGAATGTACAGTTTTAGTTACTGCACCTCAGAAAAGCATTTTATGGAGTTGCGAAAGTTCAAGTGGCTAAAGTCACTCAGTTTCAGGGAGGTAGGTTAGTTCAGAATAAAGAAGAGAAGGAAATGACATAATAGAAGTGAATGAAACTATTCATGGTATGGATAAATTGGATAGGAAGTGGCCAGGTTCAACCAGTGAAACAGAGTAGGGAGAGATTTGGGAACTGTTAAGTAGCTCTTTAAGCAGAGGCTGGATGGCCATTTGTCAGGGGTGATTTGAATGCAATATTCCTGCTTCTTGGCAGGGGGTTGGACTGGATGGCCCATGAGGTCTCTTCCAACTCTTTGATTCTATGATTCTATGATTCTTAGTATTTGGGAAGTACTTCATACAACACATGGTCAAATGGTCAGAAGGTGGAATTCACTACCATAAGATGGTAGAGATGGCAATCAACTGGAGATTCCTTCATTTTGTAGATTGGATTCCTTCATTTTGTAGATTGGATT